GCCTCTTGCCGCTGCTGCGCCTGGAACTGCAACTGCCAGAGTAGTGTGAGATAGTTAGGGGTGTGGGATGGGTGGAGGTGACCCAGGGAGCCCCAGAAGCTGCACTGCCTCACCTCCAGCTCCTGGGACAACACCAACACCGGGTACCACTCCGCCGACTCCTGGGATGACGCCAGCCCCGGGCAGGACACCGGCTCCCGCCACCGGGGAGAGGTTGGTGATGCAGGGACACCACCAGCATCCCCCAGGCCTGGGAGGGAGGGAGCCCCACTGGGAAGATGGGTGATGGATGTGCCCACAGAGGGCAACTCACCGAATTTTGCTGCTGCTTTTGCTGCTGCTGCCTGTGCTCCGACTCCTGGGGAAGGACACGGGCAGCCACTAAGGTCCCAAGACCATTCCCACCTCAGCTCCCCTATCCCACAGGGACCCTGGGGACAAGCCCCTCCTGTTAGCACCCACCCTGCACTCCTTTGGGAGGTGATGGTTCCCTCCAGGCTGTGCCTGGGGTGCCACTGCTGCTGACAGAGCCCTATCTAAGGACCAGTAAAGTGACTGGAGTGCCCAGTCCCCCCACCATGTCCATGCCAGTCCCCCACCCTAGGGCTGCCTGGAAAGGGAGTGTACCTGTCCCAGTGGGGTACCCTGCCTTTCCCCCTGCCCCGATGCCAGCTCCTATCCCGCCGGGCCCGAAGCCTGCAATCACAAACAGAAAGGCAATGCTGAGTCAGGCACTGGCCCTAGGAAGGGGGGCAATGAAACAGGTCACTCAGCCCAAAGGATCTCCCTGCCTTGGGTGCCCAGTGATGGGGGGGATGTGCTGGAGGCTGCTCCACTGCAGCTGAGATGCCAGTTCAAACATCCCTGCCTGGAGCTGGCTGTGGCTCAGAACGTGTCCTGGCAGAGCGAGCCAACCACTGCCAGTGTCACTGTGTGCTGCTGGATGAAGTGCTCCTAGCCCCATGCCGTGGGATGCCAGGAGAGCTGGGCTGCTCCCAGCTGGGTCCGCAGGCAGCACAGCAGGGCAAAGCACAGGTCCTCTGAGGGACCACCTCACCCTGGGAGCAGGGTGCCCCTCACACCACCCAGAGGGTTGGTAGCTACAAGGACATGGTGTCAGCCAGTGGGGCTTTGAAGAACCATGACCGCATAGTGAGGGCTACAAGCACTCACCACAGGGCAGCTTACCAGTACTGTAGGGCAATCCATAACCACCTGGAGAGGAGAGAAGGTGGCAGGTTAGCACTTGTCTGCTGGTGGCCGTGACCCCTCTGCCCCACAGTGTAGCCCCTCTCTGCCAGCCAGCTGTGCAGCACCAGCCCTTGGGGCGCCTTCCATCGGGATAATAAATCCTCCAGGATACACCCCCCCATGATGAAGCCAGTCCAGGAGAGGCTTTTCTCCATCACCTTGGAAGCAGCATCTCTAAAAAGAACCACCTGCTGTCAGGGGCAGAGGCTGTGGCACCCAAAGCTGGTTTTGCAGGAGCCTCCCATGGTCCCACGTCGGCAGGGGGTCCCCCAGGAGCCCTGCAGCAAGAGCTGTACCCAGCTGCCTGCACCATGACCAGCTCCAAATGAAAGGGTTTAATTGGAATCAGGGCTTGGGAGCCTCTGCTGAAACATGACCTCTTTAGGAGGTCAGTGTGGAGGGAAATGGAGGGATTGCGAGCAGGAACAGTGCGGCCAGGGAAATGTCTCCTTGTGAAAGAACATGATCCCACTGCTCAGGATGGCGCAGGGATGCCCATGACTCAGTGGGAAACGCATGCTTGGGATGGGCAGCACCGACCTCCCACCACAGCTGGCAGTGGCCTGAGGAGGGGTGATGGGCTGCCACATCCCCGATGGGGACACCTCGAGCAGCACGTAGGGTGGAGGGTGTCTCACACACAAAGTCCTCACGCTGAGGGGTTTGTGGGATAGGAGGGGTGCAGCTGTCTGCAGCCAGGACAGGATTACTCATTCGAAGTGTTTCCTTGAGTGCAGGACACTGTCCCCTCCCGCCAGCAAGCATGCAGGGACCAGATTTCCCTCCATCCTGCCAGGCTGTCCCATCATGTCCCATGCCAGTACAGGGGCAGATGCATTCCAGGCTGCAGTAGCTGCGAGTTGTGCTGGGTGTCCCCCACCTTGGTGACCTCCCTTACCCCATCCTCATAAGTGCCTCACTCACCACAAAGCTGCGGAAGGGTCCAGCACTGGGTGACGCATGTGGAGGTGACTCCAAGGATCAAGAGTCTAAGCCCTTGGCCTCGAAGGGTTTTGCCGGGTCCAAGTTCAGCTCCCCACCACCCCCAGCCAAATGTGAGAGCAGCCCCCACCCCAGGGCTGTCTGCACCCATCCTGCACCAGCATGCAGATGCCACCAGCACTGCTGGCGAGGCTCAGGGTTGATGGGCACACTGGCTGGTGTGGAAAGGGCTTCTCACTGATCAATGCCATCCCAGCATGGCCGGGTAGTGGGGAGCAGTCCCCATCCCTATGGCATGAGGTGGGACCCTGATTTCAGTCACAGCTTCGGGCTGAGCCCCCAGTGAGCTTGCCCTGGGGCTGCTTGTTGATTGGGGACAGCACAGAGCAGGAGCTGGCTAGAGCATTTGTAGCAAATAATCCAAAAAGGAGACGATCTGCTGAAAATGTTATTTTCCCCATTGTCTCCTCATCCCACCTCAACTCGTCTGGAACACAGCACAGGGGACATGGGGATGTTAGCAGCCCCTGCATCTGTCTGCACCATCAATGGGAGACAGCCAGCGCAGTGTCCCCATGCTGCTAGTCCTGAGCCAGTCCTGACCCCTAAGAGCTGATGAACTGGCATCCCCCAGTGTCCTGGGAAGGACTGGGGCACCAAGTAGCGCCCAGCAGCTGAAACCACAGCTGTGGACACCACCACTGTCTTGTTGGTCCCCGTGAGAGGTGTGATGCACTGATGGGGCTCCCTGGCCAGGGGGATGAGTGACCTCCCCTGGTTCATTTCACGAAGGCTCCCCATAAAGCAGGTCAGCCTGCAGCTGCGACAGGCCAGGCTGCGGGCCACTGGCAGGGCTGCAGCAGGATGGAGCCAGGCACGGCTGCGCCACGCACTGGTGGTTTGCTCTCCGCACCAGGCACCCCATGAAAGGCAGCCTAGGGCCGAGCTGTGGCCAGAGGCCAGGCGGCAAGGAGTGTAACTCTGCCTCCACGGGAGGAAGCCGGAGCAGGCCAAATATTTCTGCTGCCATTTGCGGTGATGGGCCCCAGCAGGGGGAAGTCGGCAGAGCTGCCAGGGCCGACACCTGAGCCGGGATGGGACCCTCTCCCTGGGGATGGGGTCCCCCCAGCAACTTGTTTCGGCCAGTGGGAAAATGCCCATGGGTCTACACAGCACCCCAGGGATGCATGTGCCTGACAGATCTGGCTGCCCAGATGCTTATTGGTCTCATCCAGCACTGGCTGCTGTGCCTTCCAGGCGCCATGCTGACAGCTTACTGGTCCAAGAGCATCCGCTCCTTGGCGATGCTCTTGGGACCAGGAAGCTGTCAGCATAGCCCTTGGAGGGCACAGCACCCAGTGCTGGCTGCCTGGCGCCCTGTCCTCTGCTGTCCTTGCCTGGGCATGGCCAGCTGGGGATGGGCAGACCCGGCACCCAGCACAGGGCTGGGAGTTGAAGGTTCCTGGAGCAGCCCCACATGGAGATGGGGTGCTGAGCACCCACAGGTTTCCCTGGGCTGGAGCTGAGCCTCGTCTGGGTGGGCAGTGGGGGGTGACACCTGCCTGGAGCTCCATCCCCACCACCTGCCTGCTGCTGGTG